GGGTTGGGGAAACAACAGTATTGTCCATGCAAGTGAAGCAATCAGGAAGGGTTTTGGGAGAACAAAGGAGTTCCTCCCCAAGACAGTAATCCCCAGGTCACCTCTTTATGGGGCAAGGGCCAGCGGGAAAGGCGGGAAACGGGAACACAGTATACTCTATATGATATTTCATTACATACATTTCATAAAGCAATCCCATCCCCACCCCAAGCAAAGTTTATTAAAATATTCGATCTTTATTATTTAAGCAAAATGGGAATTTCATGATCCCTCGATGAAGGTGCGCGGAAACGGAGGCTGCCTGCACTTCAAGGCAGACCTTATCGGGAGGTTTGTGTCCAAAGATAATAAACAGTCCGAAGTGCGGAGCAGAAAGTCAATAGGAGAGGGCAAAAAGGGTCCAAGGATGATTTCCGGGTTGAAATGGTGACAGTGTCCATTATCTGTCCTTTGGGAAACTATGTCTCTCTCGCCAGAGACCGGGACCCACGCCTGGCTGCCTTCCTGGGGTCTCCTATGGGTGACCACAGTGGGTCCCCGGTTGCTGGATCCAGGCAGGAGCGAGCAGCGCTGAGGAGAAACGGGCTGTCTTGGAAGAAACCGGCCAAATTGACAAACAGCTGATTTCTGTCAAATAAAATACTCGAAACAAAATCAATTTATTCTCGGGTGTAGGAGTCCAAAATGAGAAAAGGGAGATAGCAGTCAGTCTTAGAATTAGTAACAGAAAAATATAAAATTGGAACGGCGGCAATCCGCCATTTTATGAATTTTCGTGGATGCGGGGATCCAAAATGGTGGTTTCCGTATCCGTGGTCTGGGCGGACGCAGATTCGGGGTCCGGGGGGCGCCCGGAGGCGCCTCCCGCAGGCTCACGGCTCTCCGGAGCCTGGAAAAAGGTTTATTTCAGTGTTGTTTTAGTTTGAGTCAAGGAAAGATACAAAAGTATCAAGCGGAGAGATTAAAAGTTGCAAGTTTCAAGTACCTTTATTAGGGGAATGTTACAAAGTAAGGAGAGGGGAAAGCAAAAGGAAAGTTGCAGGCATTCCTGGTTTTGAGCTGACTGCTGGGGCACATTTCATCTGTTGGTCCCCAAACTTGACCCAGGAACTGCGGAACTCTCCGCTGCGGCTCACACCAACGTGAAGGCGGGGCTCTCCGCTGCGCTCGGGCTCAAAATCACCCCTGACAGATGGCCAGCCAGCCTCTGTTTAAAAGCTTCCAAAGAAGGAGCCTCAACCACACTCCGGGGCAGAGAGTTCCACTGCTGAACGGCTCTCACAGTCAGGAAGTTCTTCCTCATGTTCAGATGGAATCTCCTCTCTTGTAGTTTGAAGCCATTGTTCCATTGCGTCCTAGTCTCCAGGAAGCAGAAAACAAGCTTGCTCCCTCCTCCCTGTGGCTTCCTCTCACATATTTATACATGGCTATCATATCTCCTCTCAGCCTTCTCTTCTTCAGGCTAAACATGCCCAGCTCCTTAAGCGCTCCTCACAGGGATTGTTCTCCAGACCCTTGATCATTTTAGTCCTCCTCTGGACACATTCCAGCTTGTCAATATCTCTCTGAATTGTGGTGCCCAGAATTGGACACAATATTCCAGGTGTGGTCTAACCAAGGAGCGGAATAGAGCATGGGTAGCATTACTTCCCTGATCTAGACACTATGCTCCTATTGATGCAGGCCAAAATCCCATTGGCTTTTTTTGCCGCCACATCACATTGTTGGCTCATGTTTAACTTGTTGTCCACGAGGACTCCAAGATCTTTTTTCACACGTACTGCTCTCGAGCCAGGCGTCCCCCATTCTGTATCTTTGCATTTCATTTTTCCTGCCAAAGTGGAGTCTCTTGCATTTGTCCCTGTTGAACTTCATTTTGTTAGTTTTGGCCCTATCTCTCTAATCTGTCAAGATCGTTTTGAATCCTGCTCCTGTCCTCTGGAGTATTGGCTATCCCTCCCAATTTGGTGTCGTCTGCAAAATTGATGATCCTGCCTTCTAGCCCTTCATCTAAGTCATTAATAAAGATGCTGAACAGGACCGGGCCCAGGACGGAACCCTGCTTGCACTCCGCTCGTCACTTCTTTCCAAGATGAAGAGGAAGCCTTGGGGAGAATCACCCTCTGGGGCGGCTCTGGTTGACACACAGCCCCACGGCCCTCGAAGTGGAGCTCTTACCCTCTCATTCCCTTTTGTTCACCGTCCTTTCTCACACACTCCTGAACCGCATACCAACCCTCACCCCAGTGGGTGCCTTGGTTCCCTCGGTTGGGAGCCCTGGGTATCCATGGATCCCTATTATGTACTCACTGGAGTGGAAATCATCTATTGGACAGATGGCAAGCTATTTAACCTCAGCAGACTGAAAGCCAAAACCAAGGTTACAACAACATCTGTTATAGAACTCCAATATGCTGATGACAACGTCATCTGTGCGCATTCAGAAGAAGACCTACAAGCCACTCTAAACACCTTTGCAGAAGCATACGAGAAGCTCAGCCTGTCATTGAACATCGAGAAAACCAAAGTGCTGTTGCAGCAGTCACCGGTCAATCCCTTTCCAAGGCCAGAAATATAGTTTAATGGTATAACATTAGAAAATGTTGACCATTTCCTCTCCCTTGGGAGCCATCTTTCCACAAAAGTCAACAATGACACTGAAATCAGTGAGCTCTGTGAGTGCAGCTTTGTTTCCGAATGAAACAGAGAGTATTTGAGGACTGGGACATCCGTAGGGATACCAAGGTGCTTGTTTATAAACTATTGTCCTCCCAACTCTGTTATATGGCTGCAAGACGTGGACTGTCTACAGATGTCACACGCAGCTCCTGGAAAGATTCCATTAATGTTGTCTCCGAAAAATCCTGCAAATATCTTGAGAAGACAGGCGGACTAATGTCAGCGTGATGGAAGAAGCATAGACCACCAGCATTGAAGCGATGATCCTACGTCATCAACTCTGCTGGACCGGCCACGTTGTCTGAATGTTCAAAGATCACTGTCTCCCAAAGCACTCTACTCTCAACTCAACTGACTCGTTGAGTTGCGTACGACATCTGTATACAGTCCACATTTTGCAGGCATATAGCAAGGTTGGGAGGACAATGGCATTATAAATAAGCACCTTGGTTTCCCTACGGATGTCCTCAAACACTCTCTGCTTCATTCGGAAAAATGCTGCACTTGCAGAGCCCAGGCGGTGTTGTATTTCCATATCGATGTTGACTTTTGTGGAGAGGTGGCTGCCAAGGCAGCAGAAAGGGTCAACATTTTCTAACGTTACACCATTAAGTTGTATTTCTCGCATCAGCAACACATCTACTAAAATTGGAACGATACAGAGAAGATTAGCATGGCCCCTGCGCAAGAATGACACACACATTCGTGAAGCTTTCCATATTTTTTGTTGTTAAATTGTATATTCATGTTTTGATGTGGGCGCCATGGGTGTTGATTTGTTGTCCGTCCTGAGTCCCTCTGCGGAGGTTGAGATAGGATGGGATATAAAAGCCCTAAATAAATAAATAAATAAATAAAATTTCTGGAATTGCAGAGAGATTGTCTGGTGACTGCTGGAAGAGCACTTTGGTTTTCTCGATGTTCAATGACAGGTCGAGCTTCTCGTATGCTTCTGTGAATTTCTGTTTAGATTGGCTTGTAGGTCTTCTTCTGAATGCGCACAGACGACGTTGTCATCAGCATACTGGAGTTCTATAACAGATGTTGTAACCTTGGTTTTGGCTTTCAGTCTGCTGAGGTTAAATAGCTTGCCATCTGTCCGATAGATGATTTCCACTCCAGTGGGAAGCTTCCCATCAACAAGATGAAGTATCATAGCGATAAGATGGAAAATAAGGTTGGGGCAATAACACATCCCTGTTTGACACCTGATTCCACCTTAAATGGGTCACTTTGGGAGTCATTGCGGTCCAAGTCTGTCGAACCCAGTTCAAAACAGTGTAGATCCAGGGTTGTTGTAGGTTTTTCCGGGCTATATGGCCATGTTCTAGAGGCATTCTCTCCTGACGTTTCACCTGCATCTATGGCAAGCATCCTCAGAGGTTGTGACGTCTGTTGGAAGTAGGAAAATGGGTTTATATATCTGTGGAATGACCAGGGTGGGGCAAAGGACTCTTGTCTGCTGGAGCTAGGTGTGAATGTTTCAACTTGACCACCTTGATTAGCATATAATGGCCTGACAGTGCCTGGAGCAAACTTTTGTTGAGAGGTGATTAGATGTGCCTGATTGTTAACTCTCTGTTGTTTTGCTGTTGTAATTTTAGAGTTTTTTAATATTGGTAGCCAGATTTTGTTCATTTTCATGGTTTCCTCCTTTCTGTTGAAATTGTCCACATGCTTCTTGTGGATTTCAATGGCTTCTCTGTGTAGCAGATCCAGTACTACACAGTAGTGTAGACCAGGGTGGGGCAAAGGACTCTTGTCTGCTGGAGCTAGGTGTGAATGTTTCAATTGACCACCTTAATTAGCATTTGATGGCCTGGCAGTGCCTGGGGGAATCTTTTGTTGGGAGGTGATTAGATGTCCTTGTTTGTTTACTCTCTGTTGTTGTGCTGTTGTATTTTAGAGTTTTTTTTAATACTGGTAGCCAGATTTTGTTCATTTTCATGGTTTCCTCCTTTGTTTTGAAATTGTCCACATGCTTGTGGATTTCAATGGCTTCTCTGTGTAGTAGATCCAGTTCTACACAGCTTAAAACTGCTAATAGCTTTGAACACACCTTTTGGGAGAGTATTCTTAAAGAAGAGGATGGAAATTGTTTTTGGACTTCATTTCCCAGAATTCCTCTCTATTGTCCAAACCGCCTGGGCTTTCTGGGAGTTGAAGTCCCAAAGGCCTTGTCATTCCGATAGTGTCCGGCAGAGGGGAGCAGAGAGCTCTTTGCGAAGCAGCCGACGGGAAAAGGTGAACTCTCTAAATAAAGCGTAGGCGGCATATTCTTGGCCGCGCGCCCTCGCCGTAGTTCCAACCCGGGCGTCTGCGCATGCGCGTGCTGTTCCTCAAGTCCTGTGAGGGGAGAGCAGCCACTCCAATCCCGGAAGTCGGTCCGAGAGCTGCTTCAACATGAAGTCCCGCTTCAACACTGTAGATATCCGGGCAGTAATTGCTGAGATGAGGCAAAGGTAGGCGAAAAGTGGAAAAGGAACTGTTTAGATCAGGCCTGGGCCAACTTGGGCCCTCCAGGTGTTTTGGACTACAACTCCCACAATTCCTAGCAGCCGGTAGGCTGCTAGGAATTGTGGGAGTTGTAGTCCAAAACACCTGGAGGGCCCAAGTTGGCCCAGGCCTGATCTGCTTCCATAACTGTGTTTACTACAATGCTCCTGTGAAGATAATACATATATCTGTCTTCTCTTTGTTACAGCTTGTTGGGAATGAGAGTCAACAACGTCTACGATGTGGATAATAAGACCTACCTCATCCGCCTCCAGAAGTAAGAGTCAAATCATTGTTTTCGCAATTTGAAATACATGTAGTCTTGTATGTTGAGCCTCTGTGTTGTCGAAGGCTTTCGTGGCCGGAATCACTGGGTTGCTGTGGGTTTTCCAGGCTTTCTAGCCATCTTCTAGCTCCATTTATTTATTTGTTTACCATAAATAAATAAATAAATAATAATAATTGTTCTGTCATGTACTGGGCCTGTAATAATTGTCTTTTGAAATAGGACGTGCACCTTGTGCCCAGCGGGAAGCCAGGGCGCCACAAAAGAGGCCCTCAAGGATTTTCCTGAAGAAATGGTCTTTAGATGGCTTGAAAGGTTAAACCAAGTCCCAATTCAAGGTGCAGGTGCTTACCTACAAAGCCCTAAACGGTTTGGGACCTGCCTACCTGAGTGACCGCATCTCCGTTTATGAACCCACACGTTCACTTCGTTCATCTGGAGAGGCCCTGCTCGTGATTCCGCCTGCGTCACAGGCGCGCTTGGTGGGGACACGAGACAGGGCCTTTTCTGTGGTGGCCCCGACTCTGGAACACCCTCCCAAAAGATCTTAGACAGGCCCCTACATTGGCAGTCTTTAGAAAGAACTTGAAGACCTGGCTGTTCCGATGTGCCTTTCCAGAATAGGAAATCTCCAATAACAAGTCCTCGAAGCACTTTTAGTAGAACTAAGATTATTGCACACCGCACACTGCACTTGCCCTATAATCCTCGTATACCACCTGCCACATCAGCACTTTTAATCCTGTACCCATTACTCTGGCCCGGCCCAGTTTTTATTGTGTCTTGATGTACTGTTTATTGCATGTCGTCAATATTGCTTTAACTGTTTTTAATTTTGCTTTTGGTGTTATATTGTTGTGTTGTGTTTTGAGGCCTTGGCCCTTTAAACTTTATGTTGTTGTTGTTCATTCGTTCAGTCGTCTCCGACTCTTCGTGACCTCATGGACCAGCCCACGCCAGCGCTCCCTGTCGGCCGTTACCACCCCCAGCTCCCTCAAGGTCAGTCCAGTCACTTCAAGGATGCCATCCATCCATCTTGCCCTTGGTCGGCCCCTCTTCCTTTTGCCTTCCACTTTCCCCAGCATAATTGTCTTTTCCAGGCTTTGCTGTCTCCTCATGATGTGGCCAAAGTACTTCATCTTTGCCTCTACTATCCTTCCCTCGAATGAGCAGTTGGGCTTTATTTCCTGGAGGATGGACTGGTTGGATCTTCTCGCGGTCCAAGGCACTCTCAGAACTTTCCTCCAACACCACAGTTCAAAAGCATCTATCTTCCTTCGCTCAGCCTTCCCTAAGGTCCAGCTCTCACATCCGTAGGTTACTACGGGGAATACCATGGCTTTGACTAGGCGGATCTTTGTTGCCAGTCTGATGTCTCTACTCTTTACTATTTTATCGAGACTGGACATTGCTCTCCTCCCAAGAAGTAAGCGTCTTCTGATTTCCTGGCTACAGTCTGCATCTGCAGTAATCTTTGCCCCTAGAAATACAAAGTCTGTCACGGCCTCCACGGTTTCTCCTTCTATTTTCCAGTTGTCAATCATTCTTGTTGCCATAATCTTGGTTTTTTTGACGTTTAGCTGCAACCCGGCTTTTGCGCTTTCTTCTTTCACCTTGATTAGAAGGCTCCTCAGCTCCTCCTCGCTTTCGGCCATCAGAGTGGTGTCATCTGCATATCTGAGGTTGTTAATGTTTCTTCCTGCAATTTTCACCCCAGCCTTGCATTCATCAAGCCCTGCACATCGCATGATGTGTTCTGCATACAAGTTAAAAAGGTTGGGTGAGAGTATGCAGCCTTGCCGTACGCCTTTCCCAATCTTGAACCAGTTTGTTGTTCTGTGGTCAGTTCTTACTGTTGCTACTTGTACAGATTCCTCAGGAGAGAGACAAGGTGGCTTGGTATGCCCATCCCACCAAGAACTTGCCACAATTTATTATGATCCACACAGTCAAAGGCTTTAGAATAGTCAATGAAGCAGAAGTAGATGTTTTTCTGAAACTCCCTGCCTTTCTCCATTATCCAGCGGATATTGGCAATTTGGTCTCTCATTCCTCTGCCTTTTCTAAACCCAGCTTGAACATCTGGCAACTCTCGCTCCATGTATTGCTGGAGTCTTCCTTGCAGGATCTTGAGCATTACCTTACTGGCATGAGAAATAAGGGCCACTGTACGGAAGTTTGAGCAGTCTTTCGCATTTCCCTTTTTTGGTCTGGGGATATAAGTTGATTTTTTCCAGTCTGATGGCCATTCTTGTGTTTTCCATATTTGCTGGCAAATGGCATGCATCACCTTGACAGCATCATCTTTTAAGATTTTAAACAGTTCAGCTGGGATCCCGTCGTCTCCTGCTGCCTTGTTGTTAGCAATGCTTCTTAAGGCCCATTCAACCTCACTCCTCAGGATGTCTGGTTCTAATTCATTCACCACACCGTCAAAACTATCATCGATATTACTATCCTTCCTATACAGATCTTCTGTATAGTCTCGCCACCTTCTCTTGATCTCTTCAGCTTCTGTTAGGTCCCTGCCATCTTTGTTTCTTATCATACCAATTTTTGCTTGAAATTTACCTCCAATGTTTCTAATTTTCTGGAAGAGGTCTCTTG